CAGACATTTCTTAATAGATTATTATTTTTTTTAAAAAATGCATTTCCCATTTCTCTGGCTTAGAGAAAGGTATTTCCCTTAAAATCTTTATGCTTTAAAAATATTACTGTGAATGGGAGAAGAGGCTGCCAAAGGCCAGGCGTTGGGGACGCAGGGCACAGACACGCCGGGGCAGTGCGGGTGGGCTGAGTGGCGAGCCCCCCGCCTGGCTCTAGTTGCCATGGGAGCCAGAGGCTGAAGTCCGGAGAAGGGGAGGGGGAGAGCCGGCGCCCGGGCCCCTCCCCCGCCTTCGATCCCCAGGGCGCCCTGCCCTTTGAGCCCGGGCAGCTCCCGCGCTGGCAGGCTCGTCTTGGGGGATCGGGGACCAGCCCGGTCCGGCCTCGCGGGCTGGGGAGCAGTCGGGCGCGGGCCCGCAGGCGACATGCTGCGGCTGCTGGCGTCCGGCTGTGCCCAGGGCTCGAGGGCCTGGGCGGGCGCACGTCCTGCCGCGGGGCTCTGCGACCCGCGGCGCGGCCAGGCCTCCGACGCCCCCCGGAACCAGCCCCCCAGCTCCGAGTTCGTGGCCCGGTCGGTGGGCGTCTGCTCCATGATGCGGCTGCCCGTGCAGGCCTCCCCCGAGGGGCTGGACGCTGCCTTCGTCGGGGTGCCCCTGGACATCGGGACCTCCAACCGGCCCGGGGCGAGGTAAGGCCTGAGAGACCAGGGCTGGGGGCCACATGGCGGGACAGCTTAATAGCCGTGGGACATGGAAGATGTCAGGACAGGTGCCTCTGCTCACACTGGGTAGTGTTGGGAGCTGGTGGGCGGCTCCAAAATGCCCCTTATGATTTAAGACAGTTGATTTTCTGGCGCCTCAGCGAGCAACCCCAAGAGCTCAACATGGGAGAGCATGTCCTCCCTCATCTTGGTGTATCCATTGGTCAGGAAGAGGTTCTAGAACCCAAACCTTGCTGGGATGGTGAGTGTGGGTACCCCTATTCCTGCCAGCTTATAGCAGCAGGTGACCTTCCATTTGAGAACAGAAGCTGGCTGCCCCTTCCCAAATCCTCTGGATGTCACCTGACTCAAGAAATGCTCAAATTAAGGCAGTTTTCCTAAAATGAAGTTGGAGGAAGTAAAATCTATTTTTCTGATTATTGAACACCAGCGATTCCTGATTCAGCTCAGCAACATTACATCTGACTGTACTGGTCTGAATTGTGAAAACCAGCATTTATTAAATGTTTACTAAGTGCAAGGTGTTTTGCATAGACTGTCTCATTTAATTCTTACAACCACAGTGTAAGGTAAATATTATTTTACAGATTAGGAAACGGAGACTCGGGGAGATTATGACATTGACTGATGCTATTTAGACTATTGGTGAGGATCAGTGGACTCCTAAATCTGTGCCTTATTTAATTTCTTCCATATTCAGCCTAGATCAGTGGTTCTCAAAGGGGATGGTTTTGCATCCAGGGGACATTTGGCAATGTCTGGAGGCATTTTTGGTTGTCACAACTTGGGGGAGGGGGTGCTACTGGCATCTAGTGGGTACAGGCCAGGGATGCTGCTGAACATCCTACTATGTGATACCCCACGACAAGGAACCATTCGGTCTCGAATGTCAGCAGTGCTGAGGTGAGAAGTTCTGGCCCAGGTGGGGCCTTGATATACCTGCAGACGGCTGACAGTGTGAATCTTCCTCCTCCAGGTTTGGACCCCGGCGGATCCGGGAAGAGTCAGTGATGCTGCGGACAGTCAACCCTAGCACAGGGGCCCTCCCCTTCCAGTCCCTCATGGTCGCAGACCTGGGCGACGTGAACGTCAATCTTTACAACCTTCAGGACAGCTGCCGGCTAATTCGAGAGGCCTATCAGAAAATTGTAGCAGCTGGCTGTGTTCCTCTGACTTTGGGTAACAGCAGTCTGCAAGGGCGGCTGTAATGGTTCTCTGCTCTGAGGGTTTATTTATCATGAGCTTGAATACAGCTATCCAGGGCTAGCCACTGCCAGTATAGAGACAGGAGAAAAGAGAACATTTGAATTCATTTATTTTAATCACTGGGGAGAGGATATTTAAAATTTTGGAGTAGCATGACCGACAGGGCTGGACTAGGGTGAAGCAAGTGAGGCATTTGCTTTGGTGCAAAAATTTAAGGAGTGCCAAAAAAGTCAACGAGCAGGATCAACTAAACAGGTGAAATATTCCTGATTTTTCCTTTTTGCTTCGGGCCCCTGGGTGACAGAGCGAGACCCCGTCTCTTAAAAAAAAAAAAAAAAAGTATTTATCTTGATACTAAGTTTTTTGGCACCATTTACGTTTTGCACCCTGGCAGGTGCCTGCCCTGTCCCACCCTCATCATAGCCCTTGATCCTGGGCCTGGAGAAGGCTGCCAGTAGGGGCTTTCCAATGATTTCAAGAAGACCATGTTTCTAATGACTTCATTTGCAAGGAGAACTGCAGGGGCATTTTTGTCTTAGTTGGGGTCCACATCAATCTGTAGGGCAGCTTT